TGCCTTCATTGTCTTCAAGAACAATTTTCAAAATACAGTGGAATCTGTCTATTACAGACTGGCCTGGGACAGACTTATTTGTCCGGTACCATGCATAAGCACCGTAAGTCTCTCTTTGGAAACTTTTCCAACCTCTGCAGCTTAGAGATGTTTATTCAACGTTTTGTTTTTTCATCAGCTATGTCCAGATTACAAAGCATTGTTCTCATAGCAAGTTGATTGTCGGGACTGTTATTTTAGTCCTTAATCCGTAATTGAGAGTCTGCATTATAAAGCAAGCATTAATGATACATTAAGAACAATTTGGCCGGGTCTCAGAGAGTAGTCCGGATTATGGAAAAAAAATGGTTTACAAAGAGTCCGGATTTGACAGATTCAATTGTATAGAAACTTGTTAGATTAACAGCAACTGAAATATCTTCAATACTGATATATATGTAATGAGAAATATAAAAATGACATCAAGATAGAAATACTGGTAACATTCTTTAAAACATTTGTATGAACACACGTCTGTTGTTACCTTCAGTGTTCAGTTTTGTGTGAAAGCTGTTCTAACAGAGATAATACAAAGGGCCAACAATGTTACATAACTTCAACCTTATCCAAGTTCTTCCATTTGGATATTCACAGATTTCGTGATTTGTATACAGCAATGTTAAAAATCTTACACTGAATTATATTTTCTGAATGACAACAAAATAAGCTGTTACATGAGAACCATATGAGACTCGAACAGTTCAACTGACAAGGAACGTGCCATTCTTTGGCAAGGTAAGCTTAAGTGCCCTTGAAATGGAGTAAGTTTCCTTGTGAGAAAGATTCCTACACTACTTACATCATTCAAAAACAACCACAATAATTTTGAAAATTGAATACACAATACCATTTAGAAAGTGGTCACATATAACATATGACGTTCTAAATGCCACCGTGTAATCATAGGTTTCGGCAGTGGGAGCCTTGCCAATTTACACTTATCAGTAGGGGTACATTAAGTCTGCAGTCTAGACTACCAGTTGTCCGACTTTCACTTTTGTGGAAGTCACGGTGGCTCAGTAGTTTAGGTGGCTGACTATGTGTGATGGCGATTATGTGCCTGTTAAATTTTCAAAATTGTCCATGACCACAGCTTTAAACAGCCTGTAGAATTATAAAATTCAAACTCTAAAATTAAATTTTTGACAACAGACATTGGAGTTTGAATACACTAATTACAGTTTTTGTTATAGTAAGAACCCCAGGCATAAGAATATTGACAAAGGGGGTGCTTATTAACAACTATAAATGCGTTTAATCTGCTCTAACAGTAGCGGCAACAACCACGGTCAAACATTACAGAAACTATAAAACATTTTGGCAATACATATAGTCCAAAGCCAAGAATATAGCCATTCTGTGCAATATGTACAAGAATGTGGATTTCAATCTAAATTTTGTCTTTGTCAGGGTGTGCTTTGATTACTGAGTGCTCTTGAAGTTGGTGATGGGCGTTTATTGGCAAGGGTGTTTTCTACTGTAAATACCACAATGATATGTACAGGATTGTTTGGCATTATGACTGAGGTAGTTTTCAAGATGGCTCCAACAGTTAAAATAGATAACTACCACCGGCACATAATGTAGATTAATAGCAGCTTAATATACGAAGACAAGGTTGTTTAACAAACGTGTGAATAACATACCGTATATTACCGTAGATAAGACGAATCTTGAGGACCAAACAAGGCAGTCTGTAGAAGGGGCTGGCTTATCTATGAGATACAATTTCAAGAAAGTATTTGTCAGGTCGTCAGTGCCCTGTCAGGATGAGCTTACAGGTTACAGAGTTTTACACAGACTTTGAAAAAGAGAGTCATGGTGACCCACAGTATTTATTTTTGGAGTCATTTTCAATATTTGGGAGTCGTGAAATTTTTTGCATAATATTTATGTGTATATAGAAAAGCAAGAGTTTTGCAAAGATTTTATTATTGTTTTGTGTTGTATTGTCATTTATATGTTAGCTAATAAATAGTATCTTTTTCACTGTTCAGTCATAGCAAACTCCAGTATACTGAACAGATAATCAGGCTTGTGATTTATTCACTGTAACATACAGTTATTAACATGAATTGAAAGAAATATCTAAATTATAGAAAACCTCACAAAATCATTGTTTGCTATTAAATCGATTTTATTGACTCTGAACTGAATTCTGAGGGTCACTCATAAAACTTGTGTCAAGCTTGACTCGCATGATAATATTTTGAGAGTCTTTAACAAATTGTTCCGTCAAATACGCAGGAATCCTGCGTCATGTAAAACCCTGAGGTTAGCGGTACACCTGCCTGGACGTTTTCGACGATTACAGATACTTTGTTATAAAGGATCAATAAAATATACATTAAAGAATGGTCAGTATATTCTTTATTAGAGGTGAGGTGAAATTGAGTTTAACGTCGTGCTTGAGAATATTTCGCTCATATGACGACGTGTATGCGTGTGTATGTGTATGTGCGGCTGCTTGTACTAGCCCAGACTAAAGCTGGTTTTATAGTGCTAGCCCACTGAGATACCATGCCGCAGTGAAGCATGAATACCCCACTCAGACACATTATACTGACTCCAAGCCGACCAGTCCTTGTTGAACCCATTAAAGCCGAGCGCCAGGCAGGGACCAACAAGTACCATATTTTAACGTCTTTTGGTATGACGCGGTCGGGGATCGAACCCTCAACCTTCCGCTCTCCGGGCGGACGCTCTAACCACTATACCACGGAGGCGGTCTTCTTTATTAGAGAGTATTCTCACTAAACATACTAACGTTTTACATCCAAGACAGTAACTGCCAGTATTGAAACATACCATTTTGACACTGATTTTAAGGGTCAAGTTAGGGGGTCGGCTTATCTATGGGGTTGGCTTATCTACGGTAATATACCATATTATAATAGCTACAGAAAAAAGGATACACTGATACACTGTTGGGAACATTCATGAAAAATTATTCAGAAGAGACGAGTGTATAACACATGTGAATCTCATCTGTATTCAATGATAAAAAATGTATTGGGTAAGATGTGGAAAATTGGGCAGTTCTTATGAAAAACATATCTAAGACTTGTTGAGCAATTATTGTATCTACATCTAAAATTATTCAGACGAGACCAGAATAAGACACATTGTGACTATAACCTTCATTCAGTCATACAAAATGTATCGGGTAAGGATCTTGTAAAAACACTCTACCCAAGACCAGGAAACATCCCATCTACATCAGTTATTGAGTTTATAAGTGGTCCACATGCTTATTATATATTCAGTGACCTTGCATTCAATGTCATCCATTCATATGTCAGAATAATCTCTAAACATGACGAGAAGCTCTAAATTACAGGAAGCTTGTTGAAGACAATTTCTGATATTCCTCTGTGTACCAAACACCATATTTCTGGCATACCTTTCGTGTTTTTTATGAAGCATCCCCTGATAACATGACAATGTGTGTCCAGCGGTTTGCAGGATAACTGTATTCTAGAAAGAGAAATCTGTGCCCACCATTATGAACTTCTCAAAACAAGAGTGAGTGAGTGAGTGTGGTTTTACGCCGCTTTATAGCAATATTCCAGCAATATCACGGCGGGGGACACCAGAAATGGGCTTCACACACTGTACCCATGTGGGGAATCGAACCCGGGTCTTCGGCGTGACGAGCGAACGCTGTAACCACTAGGCTACCCCACCGCCCCCTCAAAACAAGAAAGTTTGTTCAAGCCACATACACATAGATCTTGTTCCATGAAAACTAGTTGGGTCATAATGTTTTAAGCTCCAGTGCTGACAGATGGACGACGATCACCTTACACTGATGATGTTGCGATGCCCGAATGTAAAAGTGTGTAAGCAAGTGTATGGTTTTATGCCACTTTTAGCACTATTCCAGCAATATCACGACAGGGACACCAGAAATGAACTTCACACATTGTACCCATGTGGGGAATCGAACCCGGGTCTTCAGCATAATGGCAGCATAATGAGCCTTCTTCCATAATGAGCGAACACTTTAACCACTTGGCCAGCTCCTTCTCCATACACTGTGTAAACATTTATCATATCCATCATGTCTGACATTCACCATGGTACGGTTATAATGAAATATATATGATATATCTGACACAGTTTGACATTAATCGTAAACGCAGATCCTGTTTTCTACACAACATAAAGCAAACAATAACGTCAAAGTCAACCTGGTCATTTGCAGCTGACGTGAGAAATATCACTTCCTCTTCCATTTAGTGTGAATGATGTCTGTGTTGATTTTAGTTCAAACAATACAAATAATAAATAAACTTTGTATACATGTTATACCTGATATGCACGAACATAGCAAAACTTGCCTCCCTGAAAAGGGGATTGAAATTTATTACCCTCGAGATAACGTATAAGACTTTTGATTGGTCAATGGCCAATACGTAACATTACTCTAAAGTTTACCCTGTTCTAAGTCGTAAGGATGACCTTGACAGTTTGCGACTTTTGACAATGAAATCTAACTCACTTGGAGAATTCAACCATTATTCACACAAAAAGTTCTTTTTGTCAATTATTTTTGAGAATGTGCTATTTTTTATCTAAGAAGTGGAAATAGATTGGACACTATCCTAAACAGTGGGATATCTGAAATAACAAGTCCCTTGAACATAGGTTTTATGCCTACAAGAGTTATGTCCCTTTTGAATAATGACTGATAATACATTTATTCGTTTGTGACAGCAATCATGGCTCAATGCTTTGTGTCCCATACCGCAGCAGAAATAAATTAAAAATTATATGTAATAATGGTGTATTTTCATTTCAAAGACAAGTGTTTGCCACTGATATGGCAATGTCCCCCGCCGCTAAAGAATGGAATATTTATAACACATTTACTACTTTTTATTTTTTGGTCACATACAAGATGCCTGAAATGACTGGTGTCTGCATAATCACCCAACGTAGGCTTTCGACATAAATGAAGACATTGGGTGCAATGTTTTATGAGATATCGCGTTAACAAGAGTATAAAAAGAGGTCAAAGTGTCGTGGTGACCTTGAACATAAGGTAAAGGTCACCAAGATCATCTGGTGTCTGTGTAATCCCTCAATGTAGGCTGTCACCAAATATGAAGACATTCGGTACAACAGTTCATGAGATATCGCGTTAACAAGAATCGGGACGTAACGGACGGACGCCACTGAATACATAGTCACCCGTTCCGCATTGCGGCGGGGGACAATAACTGTTATGACATTTACTAGATTTTGGCACCTAAAAATCTAAATGGTAATACTGCCATTTGCCAGGTACTATGGGATGGTACAACCCGTTTGAATCTGTATTTCCCTTGGCCTTTGTACCATCTAATACTACCTGGCAAATGGCTGTGCAACTAATAATACCCTGCAGTTAAATTATATATGAACATGTACACACTCTCTGACCCATTGATTGAGTCAATAATGTTATTCCTAAGACGTACGCTAGTCTATATTGGTCTGGACTTTATCCTTGTGCTGGACGCTGTACATTTTATTGTAAACTTTGCCGTTGAATGAGATGACTGGACTAGGGACTACTGCAAGGCCTCCGTGTCCCAAGCTGTCTTTGTAGCACTGTGCGATGTGACGGTTACCCACCGACATCTCCTCGTGGTTTATGTACTCATCCAGCTGCAAGAGGAGATACAGGTGTACTCAACATCTGTTGTAACGGAAGGCTACAGATGTACTCAACATCTGGTGTAAAGAAAGGCTACAGGTGTACTCAACATCTGGTGTAAAGAAAGGCTACAGGTGTACTCAACATCTGGTGTAAAGAAAGGCTACAGGTGTACTCAACATCTGGTGTAAAGAAAGGCTACAGATGTACTCAACATCTGGTGTAAAGAAAGGCTACAGGTGTACTCAACATCTGTTGTAAAGAAAGGCTACAGGTGTACTCAACATCTGGTGTAAAGAAAGGCTACAGGTGTACTCAACATCTGGTGTAAAGAAAGGCTACAGGTGTACTCAACATCTGGTGTAAAGAAAGGCTACAGGTGTACTCAACATCTGGTGTAAAGAAAGGCTACAGATGTACTCAACATCTGGTGTAAAGAAAGGCTACAGGTGTACTCAACATCTGGTGTAAAGAAAGGCTGCAGGTGTACTCAACATCTGGTGTAAAGAAAGGCTACAGATGTACTCAACATCTGGTGTAAAGAAAGGCTGCAGGTGTACTCAACATCTGGTGTAAAGAGAGGCTACAGATGTACTTAACATCTGGTGTAAAGAAAGGCTGCAGGTGTACTTAACATCTGGTGTAAAGAAAGGCTGCAGGTGTACTCAACATCTGGTGTAAAGAAAGGCTACAGATGTACTTAACATATGGTGTAAAGAAAGGCTACAGGTGTACTCAACATCTGGTGTAAAGAAAGGCTACAGGTGTACTCAACATCTGGTGTAAAGAGAGGCTACAGGTGTACTCAACATCTGGTGTAAAGAAAGGCTACAGGTGTACTCAACATCTGGTATAAAGAAAGGCTACAGGTGTACACAACATCTAGTGTAAAGAAAGGCTACATATGTACTTTACATCTGGTGTAAAGAGAGGCTACAGGTGTACTCAACATCTGGTGTAAAGAAAGGCTACAGGTGTACTCAACATCTGGTGTAAAGAAAGGCTACAGGTGTACTCAACATCTGGTGTAAAGAAAGGCTACAGGTGTACTCAACATCTGGTGTAAAGAAAGGCTACAGGTGTACTCAACATCTAGTGTAAAGAAAGGCTACATATGTACTTAACATCTGGTGTAAAGAGAGGCTACAGGTGTACTCAACATCTGTTGTAAAGAAAGGCTACAGGTGTACTCAACATCTGGTGTAAAGAAAGGCTACAGGTGTACTCAACATCTGGTGTAAAGAGAGGCTACAGGTGTACTCAACATCTGGTGTAAAGAAAGGCTACAGGTGTACTCAACATCTGGTGTAGGGGAAGGCTACAGGTGTACTCAACATCTGGTGTAAAGAAAGGCTACAGGTGTACTCAACATCTGGTGTAAAGAAAGGCTACATATGTACTTAACATCTGGTGTAAAGAAAGGCTACAGGTGTACTCAACATCTGGTGTAAATCTGAGAAAGGCTACAGGTGTACTCAACATCTGGTGTAAAGAAAGGCTACAGGTGTACTTAACATCTGGTGTAAAGAAAGGCTACAGGTGTACTCAACATCTGGTGTAAAGAAAGGCTGCAGGTGTACTTAACATCTAGTGTAAAGAAAGGCTACAGGTGTACTTAACATCTGGTGTAAAGAAAGGCTACAGGTGTACTCAACATCTGGTGTAAAGAAAGGCTTCAGGTGTACTCAACATCTGATGTAAAGAAAGGCTACAGGTGTACTCAACATCTGGTGTTGGGGAAGGTTACAGGTGTACTCACAGTACTACCAGATCTGTGTACGGGAATCTACAGAAACATGCACAGTCTGCTAGTAGGATGATGAGGAAGGTACCATGACAAAATATCTCCTAACATGGCAAGCAAACATATTTCTCACTTACATCCATCCACTGACACTTGGCGATCTCATGCTGACAGGGCTTGACGTCGTCACTGCGTGGTCTCATCACACACACAAAGTAGATGTCGGAGCAGCCGTAGCGGTAGTTGTGCTGGTGACGGAAAGTCAGTATCGACTCAAACTCGCACTCTATACCCGTTTCCTCAAACACCTCTCGCTTAGCTGTCTCGCCAATATCTTCACCTGAACAACAATGATATTGACCATGTAGAAGATCGATGAGGAAGTAACTGCATAGATATTGGAGACAGAGTCCTAATGATTGGTGTTTCTCTTCCCTTGAGGCCACAATGAACTTATTACTAGATTTTAATACCCACCTGCCTTGTATGCTACTTTTTTGTTGAATGTCACACTCAGCAATATTTCAACTCTATGATTACAGCCACACCATTATTCTCCTGTCTAAAATACTTGTGTGTCCACAAGTGGTGGTCCCGATTAATTGAAATAATCCAAGATTGGTCGCAGTGACTAAACGACCAAGCTATCGATCATGTTTTCTCATAATCGAACACAAGCAATTCTGGAACACTTTTTGCATTAACAATATTTTTCATAAGGTTGGTTTTGTCTGTTACATTTCATGAGCACTACAAGCTCGTTCCAAGTCATGATTGAATTTATCTTAAAGACCCCAAGAAATTTATGCTCCTAACATACTAGCAGGCTCGATTTAAGAGATTTTAACCTACTTGCACCAGGTGCAACCTAAGATAAAGACCTAGTTGCACCAGCCAAATTCCAGTTGCAACGTAGTGTGTTAAAATGTTTCGGTGCACATAAACCTTAATCAGTGATGTAGTACACATGAAACCATAGCAACACTGAGACACAGCTGATCCCTGTTTACAAGAGCTGTCATAGCCGAGACGTGTTTATGAATAGCAATGTTTCATTGCCATAGCTATTCAAAGTTTAGAAGAAAAATGGGCTGGCATATTTATGCACATGTTAGATTTATTGTTGATTTATTTCTCAACAATTCACTTGCACCTTGTGCAAGATAGACTCATAGCTAGGTTGTATTTTGTAATATTGGGTTGCACCAGTGCAAGTAACAAAGCACTAAATCGAGCCCTGACTAGTCATCCTTTAAAGATTTGCATAAAAACCCCAAAGAACTACTTGGTTTTTTCTTTATGTTTTTGTGCAAACAAAAATAACCAGGAAAATTTCATAAATGACGCAAACCAATTATTTTCGATGATTGATCGGTTGTAATGAACCATTCATCAATTATGAGATTTTAACCAAGTCCCAACACAAGTGTCCACCTGTGTGACACACCTATACCTGTATCTGTCTGAAATACCTGCATAAGAGTGTACAGTACACTTGCCTGGCATACCGGCGTACCCATATGTTTGACATATCGTATATTACCGTAGATAAACCGACCCCATTTTTGTGTGTTCACCTGTATGATATTACCTATATTTGTAAGTCTACCTGTGTGACACACCTTTATTAGCATGCAGCTGTATACGACATACCTGTATCTGTCTGAAATACCTGCATAAGAGTGTACAGTACACTTGCCTGGCATACCCGCGTACCCATATGTTTGACATATCGTATATTACCGTAGATAAACCGACCCCATTTTTGTGTGTTCACCTGTATGATATTACCTATATTTGTGTGCCCACCTGTATCACATACCTTTGTATGTATTTCCACTTATTTGACATACCTGTTGTGTCCACCTGTCTGACATATCTTGATCTGCATGTCCACCTGTCTGACATACCTTTATCTGTGTGTCCACCTGTCTGACATACCTTTATCTGCATGTCTACCTGTCGGACATTATAAGTTATCACATCGTGTCTCGGGAAATATGGGGTTTTATCAGTCCCTCGTAAGGTTGTATTCAACCTTACAACCTTACGAGGGACTGATAAAACCCCGTATTTCCCGAGACACGATGTGATATCGCATTTATCTAGCCGAATGTTTTTACTAAATCAAACGTTTTGCTTCAATTTCATTCTCAGTTGTTGTGGCAAAACGTTTCCTTGCTGCCATGTTGACAACAGCTGATCGATTGACCTCAATACAGCTAACGTTACTGAAGGCTTGGCGATGCACGCTTTTCTCACTTTGCGTGGTCACCGAGGCGTCGCGGGATAATATGTTTTTTGTACTCCCTGCTCGCGGATCGTGACGGGTGTACATGGTATTTTATCAAAGTCACGTGAACCAATAAAACTCGACATTCTTACATGAGGCTGGATAAACCTGCATGTCCACCTGTCTGACATAACTTTATCTGCATGACCACCTGTTTGATATAACTTTATCTGCCTGTCCACCTGTCTGACATACCTTTACCTTCATGTCTACCTGTATGATATACCTGCATGTCCACCTGTCTGACATGTCTTTATCTGCATGACCACCTGTCTGACAAAACTTTATCTGCCTGTTCACCCGTCTGACATAACTTTATCTGCCTGTCCACCTGTCTGACATAACTTTATCTGCATGTCCACCTGTCTGGCATACCTTTATCTGCCTGTCCACCTGTCTGACATAACTTTATCTGCCTGTCCACCTGTCTGGCATACCTTTATCTGCCTGTCCACCTGTCTGACATACCTTTATCTGCATGACCACCTGTGTGACATTCCTATATTTTACATGTCCACCTGTATCACATACCTTTATCTGCATGTCCACCTGTCTGACATACCTTCATCTGCATGATCACCTGTCTGACATACCTTTATCTGCGTGTCCACCTGTCTGACATACCTTTATCTGCATGTCCACCTGTCTGGCATACCTTTATCTGCATGTCCACCTGTCTGACATACCTTTATCTGCATGTCCACCTGTCTGACATACCTTTATCTGCATGTCCACCTGTCTGACATACCTTTATCTGCATGTCCACCTGTCTGACATACCTTTATCTGCATGTCCACCTGTCTGACATACCTTTATCTGCATGTCCACCTGTCTGACATACCTTTATCTGCATGTCCACCTGTCTGACATACCTTTATCTGCATGTCCACCTGTCTGACATACCTTTATCTGCATGTCCACCTGTCTGACATACCTTTATCTGCGTGTCCACCTGTCTAACATACCTTTATCTGCGTGTCCACCAGGAAGTTTCCAGTGTGGCCGACTCTGAAACCTCTCCTGTATTGCCAGCACCTGGTTGTTACTATTGACTACAAACCCACCAACACCTAGTTGAGTAAAAACACAAGGCATAAACTACACAACTTAGAAAAGAATTAATCAAATTTCAGCTACAATTAATCACTTATGTCACATGTTATATTTGGGATTAATATGTTTCTACTGAATAATTGGTTCACAAATACATCAGCTGAATGTGATTGTGTCCCATATTTAATTGCCTTGCCAAAGCTGGCTTTGCTGCTATGTTTTCATAAACCGTAAACAGATTATGCCACACCTGATAATGGACAGGTGTTACCTCATTACCTGATAATAGAATGGGGGGCACGTGTGTTGTACTATTGGCACTAATGATGTCATGGATTTCATATCATTGTGAAAATGAAATAAAGTAAGTGTTTAACTTCAATCATATGATGAGTGAGTGAGTGGGTTTAGTGTTACGCTGCACTCAGCAATATTCCAGCTATAGGCGGCGGTCTGTAAATAATCGAGTCTGGATGAGACAAACCTGTGATCAACAGCATGAGCATCGATCTGCGCAACTGGGATACAATGACATGTGTCAACCAAGTCAGCGAGCCTGACCACCATATCCCGTTAGTTGCCTCTCACGACAAGCATGGGTTACTGAAGACATATATGATAAAATGACATTCTTTTCTACTAATCCAGTGATCAATATAGTGAGCACCAATCCACATCATAGAAAGACACTATCAACCAAGACATTGAGTACCTGATCTATTTGGTTGAGAATGGAGAGGCACCTACCAATATACTGGTTGGCATACTCGGGCAGGTTGTTGGGTTCATCTGCTGGTAGCCACACGCTCATCATCACATACCCAGGTTGGGCATGGTGGAAGTCAAACCCCAGCTGCAAATTGTGTCAGACTTGCAAGTTGATTGTGAGAATCTTTGATTGATTTTTATAAACATTATTGAAATGTAGTTTCAACATTGAGTCCAATACAGGATGGGCCAATACAGGATTTGAGTGGGGCAATACAGGATTTGAGTGGGACAATATAGGGTTTGAGTGGACCAATACAGGATTTGAGTGGGGCAATACAGGATTTGAGTGGGGCAATACAGGATTTGAATGGACCAATACAGGATTTGAGTGGGGCCATACAGGATTTGAGTGGGGCAATATAGGATTTGAGTGGGGCCATACAGGATTTGAGTGGGGCCATACAGGATTTGAGTGGGGCAATACAGGATTTGAGTGGGCCAATACAGGATTTGAGTGGACCAATACAGGATTTGAGTGGGGCAATACAGGATTTGAGTGGGGCAATACAGGATTTGAATGGACCAATACAGGATTTGAGTGGGGCCATACAGGATTTGAGTGGGGCAATATAGGATTTGAGTGGGGCAATACAGGATTTGAGTGGGGCCATACAGGATTTGAGTGGGGCAATACAGGATTTGAGTGGGCCAATACAGGATTTGAGTGCGGCAATACAGGATTTGAGAGAATCAATACAGGATTTGAGTGAGGCAATACAGGATTTGAGAGGGTAATACAGGATTTGTGTGGGCCAATACAGGATTTGAGTGCGGCAATACAGGATTTGAGTGCAGCAATACAGGATTTGAGAGAATCAATACAGGATTTGAGTGAGGCAATACAGGATTTGAGAGGGTAATACAGGATTTGAGCGGGGCAATACACAATTTAAGTAAGGACATACAGGATTTGAGTGGGACAATACATCATTTGAGTGGGGCAATATGGGATTTGAGTGGGGCAATGTGGGATTCGAGTGGACAATACAGGATTTGAGTGGGCAATACAGGATTTGAGTGGGGCAATACAGGATTTGAGTGAGGCAATACAGGATTTGAGTGAGGCAATACAGGATTTGAGTGGGGCAATACAGGATTTGAGTGAGGCAATACAGGATTTGAGTGGAAGTGCAAGTTGGCCCTGGTCATAAAATATTTGAGGTAATTTTGAACCACAGTTGCTAATATGATTCTACTGCTGTGTTCTAGTTGCTTCCTACAATCAGAGGGCGCTGTATTACCTTGACAAGCATCGGCACCAGTGATGTCTGCTGTAAGCCGATCTTAATCCAAACTCCTCGGACCTTGCCTGCCCTCCACTCAGTCAGGGCCGCTGCAGGGAGAGACACAATGTACATGATTAGTGGTTTGTTCGAGGTTAAACTGCACACTCAGCAATAATCCAGCTAGACAGTGAGTAAATCCAGTGACTGACATCATGAGCACCAAATATTTTGGATACCATGACATGCATCCTGTTGCTGAAGCCCACTTCTAGCCTGGATGAAGTGTACATTCAGACTTCTGCTACTACTACTGCTGCTGCTGCTGCTACTACATGGCATGGTATCTCAGTGGGCTAGCACTATAAAACAAGCTTAAGTCTGGGCTAGTACATGCAGCCGCACATACACATACACATGCATGCACGTCGTCATATGAACTAAATATTCTCAAGCACGACGTAAAACCCAATTTCACCTTACCTCACCTCTCGGGAGAGCAGAAGGTCGCGGGTTCGACCCCCGACCTCGTCATACCAAAAGATGTAAAAATATGGTACCTGTTGGTCCCTGTCTCGCGCTCGGCATTAATGGGTACAACAAGTACTGGTCGGCTCAGAGTCAGTATAATGTGTCTGAGTGGGGTATTCATGCTTCACTGCGGCATGGTATCTCAGTGGGCTAGCACTATAAAACCAGCTTAAGTCTGGGCTAGTACAAGCAGCCGCACATACACATACACACGCATGCACATCTTCATATTAGCGGAATATTCTCAAGCACGACGTTAAACCCAATTTTACCTCACCTCACTAACTACTACTACTACTACTACTACTACTACTACTACTACTACTACTACTACTACTACTACTACTACTACTACTACTACTACTACTACTACTACTACTACTACTACATAGTTTGATAGTAGTGAGGGAAATTACTTTGATATTTTTCCAATGTAACACAATTGGGAATGAAGAATTAGACTTTACAATCACCTTCAAGACTCTGGATAAGTTCTTCATCACTGGCAAAGGTTTGATCACTGACATTGAATGTGATGCTATTAAACCTGCAAACAACAACAACAACAACACATAATTACAGATGAATAGAGATTTACAGATAGGCACCAATTCATAGAAATAAGAAAAATAACCACTTCTTCTTAACTATTTCATGACAGCAAATACCCTACTATATCATGACAGCTTGAGTAATGTGGCAGTGTTATTCATCGAGTAACAGTGAGTGAGCGAGTATGGTTTTATGCCGCTTTTAGCAATATTTCAGCAATATCACGGCGGGGAGACCAGAAATGGGCTTTATACATTGTACCCATGTGGGGAATCGAACCCGGGCCTTCAGCATGACAAGTGAACGCTTAGACCACTAGGCTATCCCACCGCCCCTCATCGAGTAATAATGTTCCAAGTTTATAACATTTTACAGTAGGGGGCAGTGTGGTACTCTATATTTAGACTTGTGCTATACTTAGAGTACTGGGAGGTACTACAGGGTACTAACATCTTTAGACTTGTCCACGATATTCTGACCCAGGGAGTAGGGCTGGGACGGGTAGGAAAAAATGGAATCGAGTACCCGCATGTACAAGTTACCCGAATCGGAATCGAGTAACCGGAAATGTAAGGAATACAGTGCTTCTGTCAACTGTCTGAATATTCAATCACAACTTGACAGAGTTTATTATAGAAGACTTGAAAGGATGGCAATAAGGCATTAAAACAGATCTTAAGCTATTTAATTTACTAGTATGTCTGTTAAACCAATATAAAGAGTAACACTATTACTTACATTCATCGTTAAAACACAGAACTTTTTGTTCCCGCTGTTACTGTAACTTTCACTACTCACTGCGCAGATAAATTACAGTCGTTAATAATAACCTTCATTAATCGGACAATACCAATGATGTAAATGTGTGTTACATCAATTATGAAAAAGACAAGTTATTATCTGCCCTTGTCATTACAGAGTTCTCTCCCTTTCCGGGTACTCGATTCCAAGAAATAGGACGTGATTCCAGCTGTACTTGACCCAAATTCGAGTACCCGAGTACCCAGCCCCGCCCTACCAGGGAGTTGGAAAATCTTCTGAAGTCTTTTTCTTAATACAAAAGGGAGGTAATTCTTTCTTCTCATCTCACATTACCCCTGATGGTACATGGGTGTCAGCAGTAGTAGGACGAGTGAGTGAGTGAGTGAGTGAATCTAGTTTCATGCCGCACTCAGCAGTATCCCAGCTATATGGCGGCAGTCTGTAAATAATCGAGTCTGGACCAGACAATCCAGTGATCAACAGCATAAGCATCGATCTACGCAATTGGGAACCGATGACATGTGTCAACCAAGTCAGCGAGCCTGACCACCCGATCCCCTCAGTCGCCTCTTACGACAAGCATAGTCGCCTTTTGTGGCAAACATGGGTGGCTGAAGACCTATTCTACCCCCGGATCTTCACGGGTCAGTTGTAGGAAGATCATTCCTACCCCGGATACTATTATTGCACTAGGTGAATATATGTTGTTGTTATCTGAGCCTTACCTGTCTCTCTTTGCAACAAATCTGTCCGCCATTTTGTTGTGTACAGTTGTATTGAAAGACATCAACTCATGTTATTCATATTTCCTGCCTGAAATTGATATCACATCAACTCATAAATATACACCATAATCAATCATAAAGTGACACACACTATCCATAATACATACAGACACAACTAAACTTGCCACACAATATTTTTAAAGGCATTTGAAAATGTTCAGCTCACAAACTTACAGCTGCCAAGATATATAATATATAAAACATGTTCCAGGAAGCCCAGATTCAGAAAGTGGATGTGCACTTAACACATAACGATTTAGATGAATGCAAAAATTACAAAAACAATTTTGGTTTGGAAGCCTCGTTGAAAACATATTACAACACAATTTACTTATATGATCTTTATATGTTTACATGTTCATCATGCTTCAGATAGGGTGTGGGTGCACAGCCTTGCACCTTCCCCAAAGTTTCAAAGTATGCACGCAGGAATGTCAAAACATCTGCCCAGATATGTAAACAACTCTATGGACTTGCAATTTTCAAACCATGAATTATGTACAGACGTCATGACAGTAATTAGCATGATCAGCACAGCACCATAAACAACCAAGTCACAGTCACTCCCAAATGCTCCACATCGTTTGTCAATAAGATGCAAAAACTGCTAGTCTTCTTTAATCTTCTCCATTTCTTGCTTGAAAGCTCTTTTCAGTCCGAGTTTCTCGTTTGTCTTCTTCTTCTTCTGTATTCTCCGCTTTGTCTCCTCCCTGCGCTGCATCATCTGGAAGCTGTTTTCCCCGTTTATCAGCAGATCTAGTTTGTCCCGTAGTTTCAGCCTGGCTGTCCGTCGGTTGGTGTCCAGGGATCGGGATTCATGGCTCTACAATTGAAAACAGTGATTTGACTGATCGGGGGTTCGAATCTCAGATGGGACTCAACTCAACAAAAGTACTAGAACCTGTACTTTATTGAGAAAGTACAATCTCAAATATAACATGTTAAATTTGACCACTTTCTAAATGGCATTGTGTATTTATTGATTGATTGGTTAATTGAGTGTTTGATGACTGATTGTTTCTCTGTCACTGTTCTTGAGTGTGAAACACCAGTAGTGTAACATAATAACAGTATTAACGATGCACAATCCCAAGCTCAGGTCCCACTGTGCAGCACCTGTTTCAGTGTTTGCCCTTGGCATAAAAATTAAGGAGTCATCATGACTCCCTGGTGTCATGAGAGGGAATCATAGACATGTTTTGGGGAGTCTGCTTCAGTTTGGAACTTTCATGAAGACATCAACAACAAACAACAAAAAAAAAAAGGTAAGGCAGGTCAGGTATTTAATCAGCACTAAGGAGTTAACTTAGATGAGAGAATCTAAGTTCTACATACATAATAATAGTGTGGTTTTCTGTATTGTACATATGTTACAGTATGTATTAGGCTGGCCTCTCCATAATTTTCCATAACGGCCTAAGTTGCATCAGTTTTACCTATTTACTATTAACTGCATATATTCACTGTAAATCATATAAAATGACATCTGGTTTGTTTAAGATATTGTTGATGAAGTGGTTTCTAAAGTAGCTTCACTGAGTGAGTCAGTGAGTTTAGTTTTACGCCGCACTCAGCAATGTTCCAGCTATATGGCGGCGGTCTGTAATAATCGAGTCTGGACCATACAATCCAGTGATCAACAGCATGAGCATCGATCTGCGCAAATGAGAACAAATGACATGTGTCAACCAAGCCAGCGAGCCTGACCACCCGATCCCGTTAGTCGCCTCTTACGACAAGCATTGGTTACTAAAGGTTCATTCTAACCCGACCTTAACGGGTAAACTTCACTGAGTGAATTACATAATAACATAATACTGCAAACATATCCATGTGTTTCTCAGTTTCAATGAGGGCGGTGGGGTAGCCTAGTGGTTAAAGCGTTCACTCATCACACTGAAGACCCGGGTTCGATTCCCCACATGGGTACAATGTGTGAAGCCCATTTCTGGTGTCCCCACCGTGATATTGCTGAAATATTGCTACAAGCAGCATTAAACCAAATTCACTCACTCACCCACCCAGTTTTTGTATTGTAAATATCATAAGTTAGGAATACACAATATGTATTAGGTTGGCCAAAGGCATAATACATGATACATAATTACATAATACAGCCCTCAGCCAAGCACGCGGGGAGGTTGTGTAGTCCAGTGGTCAAAGCGTTCACTCATGATGCTGAAGACCTGTGTTCGATTCCCCAAATGGGTACAATGTGTGAAGCCAATTCTGGTGTTCACCATTGTATATTGCTTGAATATTTCTAAAAGCAGAATAAAACCATACTCACTCACTCCTCTGCACTCACCTTCACAACAATCCCTGTGGGCACGTGTTTGAGCACCACACAGTTGGCCGTCTTGTTGACCGATTGACCTCCCGGGCCACTGCCTCGGACATACTGCTCCTCCAACTCGTCCTCGTCCACAACAGGAAACTGGTAATCCTTCTGTGACACATAGCTTCGTAAAGGAACACCGACAGTCAAAATCTTCTGAAAATTTCCTCTGCTGTGTAAACGACGTCCACCTTGTTCCTCTGTGTTGGGAAACTTGTTCTGTTGAGAGGGCCCTTTTAGTTTTAAGGTTGACAGGTGTGATGAGAGTGATCTCTCTTGCTGACACGACACTGTTAAGAGTTTCTTCAGTGTTCCTTGTATTGACTTTGGAATGAGGAAAGGGCGGATAATCCATAGATTAACTTGAGCTATTGACATGGTATGGAACATGTGCATACTTATTTGTTCTACTTACTTGATTTCTCAACAGTCGATAGAATCTGGAAAAAAGCGGACAAGTAATCAGTGGGTGTAGCCACATGGAGTAACGCTAAAAGGGGTTGTTGTAGGCATGGGGACAACAGATATGTAGGGCTGGCTAAAAAGATTGATAATCGGAAATATTGTTGCTAGGAAAAATTATTAATAATTATGGACATTAAAATTGTGTTATCAATAACATTGTATATTAAGTTTTGTGATAGAAAACTTTTCTCACATAAGATACACATTTAGGACTTTATTCATGGTCTGCTACTAAATCACATTCAGGATGCTGTTTTGTTAACCAATCCATGCAAAAAACATGTCACAATTCACCAGTGACGTGAAATATATTCATTTCTTTTAGACATTTGTTTGCATTTTTGCTCAAAGTTACGTCTCCGATATTTATCAATCAATATTTAGTTAACGACTGTGATCTCTATCAATAGCCCTACAGATATGTACCCCAGGTATGTTTCTGAAAACAGAAACATACCCAAACCAAAATCAGAATATAGAAATGTACCCTTGGACAAGTCCAATCTGCAGCGTTTTCTTGATCAGGACTGTCCTACTATTGTATTAGATGAGTTCGATTGTTTCATTTAAGAAATAAGCATACACAATGACAATATTCCACGATGCACAGTATTACTTGTAATCAGGCAAACGGCTGATAACATGAACTGGTTTGGGTTTTTAGTAGGAGAATATTGGCCCATCTGCCATTCAGGATAGCGGGTACAATTTTGTATTTTTACTTTTGTTTGGAGTACATATCTGTAGTGCCCGTGTCAACAACGACCTCTTCAGATGGAGTAACTGTTAACATGAGTTGATTATTCTTTATTCATTGATGAGGGTTTGCTGTTGTTCAACGCTGCACTCAGCAGTATTCCAGCAATATGGCGATCACTGATCTGAGTCCTAATTAGGAGAGATCATAAGTCAGATCAGGAAAACTTTAGTACGAGTTCCTAAGCACTGAATCAGTGATTTATTACAGTTGATCATTTTCATTTTTTGTTTTGGCCACTCTTACTAAAGAGGTTAGGTTTGATTTTGCTGAATAATCTTATCGATCACCACAATATCTTCTCAAAGGGCTATGCCGATGGGTTAGGATATACTTGCCTTGATTTCTATTAATACGTGATTTTGGTGTGTTGCTACCTGTATTTTAAAGTTGTCATGTATATTGTCCAGCCACAAAGGTCTAAACTTTGAATTAGTGATGAAATGCTGGTGTAATGTATGGCTCTCTGGTATTAGTGCAAAGTCGTTTAGTTATACCCTTGCTGCACTAATGGCTAGTATTAGTAATGCTGGACTTGGCTCTCTCAGTTCTAAAGCTTTGGTTCCAGAACAACAAAGAGTTGTCAGTGAATGATGCAAACTTTAAAACATACGTGGGAAAGACCAAAATGTCTCTTTCAGTGTTACTGACATTACATATCATTTTTGACACAACTATCCACCGTATACCTGTCTGAACTCTGAGTGGGTGACCTTCCAACAGGAAGTCGAATTACACGTGAGTAAGCTGACCCGTTTTGTAGTGTCGTAAAGCTAATTAAATTCCCTTTCCCCAGTATCACATCTATATAAATATGTACATATAACGTGTTTTGGAACAGAATGTATCATCATCATGATAGGATCTACATGATATATATACCAAACACAATATTTATAATTTACGACACCCAAGATCGCGTCTAACACTGGCGACCCCCGCCGCATCAGTGCGCAAGTATCAACAGGAAACGAAAATCTGAACTTTGTTGACGAATGATCCGTGTGAAACAGCACGGATATTTATCGGAATTAGTTACAGTTACCGGAATAAGACGAAAAGGATCTTGACTGGTCTCAGGACATCCTTGCCGTAAGTATTGTTTACACATGATTTCATTGCGTGTTACTGAAGCAAAATTTTGTTTTACACGAACCCGGCAACAGCGTCCAAGTCTCATTCACCACAATGTCAATGTTGAGAAGCAAAAACAGTGTGAGGAGACGCGGTAGAAAAACCTCTAGTTGCTTGCTGCTTCATAATTAAATCTATGCAAAGGTGAATCTTGTTTTGGTTGAAAATGTGTGTATATTTTGAAAACCACTGCAGTTTGTGTTTGTTTATCTTCATAGTCCGTTAGTCTGCGGTTGTAATCTCGATCAATCTCGGCAAGGGGTTCACATATCTCCTTCAGAAGACCACTTCTCGTGGGATTAGTTGCCGAGTTATTGATTTATACGGTTGACAATCGCTGGGCGTTTGAGGTTAACAAGGTGTTTCAATTACTTCACTGAAGGGCTGATATACATAGAATCTGATGTTGATGTTGGTTTACTTTCTTTTTCTACAACCATGATGATTTAGAGACAGAGTACTGATTTAGGTACCTGTTAAAACGTCATCTAAAGTCATTAAAGTTCATGATCAAGATCCTTTTTCTCTCAAGCTGAATTTCTCTCCCATGATGTTAAAAACCTATCACTTAATCCGTATGATGGAAGCATTGTAAAGCATGTTTTGGCATCATGTACATAATATCGGCTACAGATTTAATGATGTTAAGTCTGCATCACCATGTAGTAAGCCTTGTTACTCACTCTGATTGTGGAAAGTCATCTTTTTATATTGTCAAAAACCTGTAATTCATAACTTGTACATAGGTCATAATTATATTATTTTATCAATGCGATCCAGGTGATTTTTGTAAAAGATCTAAAAAAATTGATCTCATGTTGTCATTATACTTTATAGACATGATAGACAAACCTGTATTCAGTGGTGTAGCAGCACCAGAGATTTCAATCTACGTTCCCTTGCCAATTAAACTGAAAATAGTTTGACATATTATCAGAACAGGATCTTTTTACTATGTTTGCTGCTCTTGTTTTTGCAAATTGTAAGGTTTTGGAAATTGTTGATTCTATCTGGGAATTGTTTCATTTGCTTCGGACTTGGAGTCTGATATCTACTTCTGAGCAGATCCAGAAAAAGACCTTAGAAATTCAGTATCAGGTGTACATATGATCGTCATATTTTCTTGTTTTCAGGATAATGGATGATCCTGGCAGTGGTGGAGAGGAAAGAGATCATGCTGCAGATGATGGCACATCCTCTGTCAGAGATGATGATCTGAAAGATGGGGATAACTCTGGGGCAAATGGAGTTGTCCCCCTTGAGAGGCCGGTGACACCAGGTCAGGATGCTGAAGCTCAGTCAAACACTGTGGACACGGAAGGTGGTGAGGATAATGTGCAACAAAGAGCAGACAATGTTGCAGAGCCTGTGAGGCAAGATGAAGATGGCGAGAGTCCACCGGTTGAGCCTGATGGTGAGAGTCCACTGGTTGAGGCGGTTCCAGCTGAAGCTACTGCTGGTTCTTCTGAACCAGACCAGGATGTGGATGAAGCCAAGAAAACACCTACTATCCCTGCAGAGAATCCTCAGAACATATCGGGAGAAGATGGTGAGCCGGACCACAAGGAAACAAAGACTGGTGTTATTGATGTTACCACAAGTGGAACAGTTGAAGAACACAGGGATGAAGTTCCAGACATTTCGGCACAATCTGGAGAACCTAGGCCTGCTTCACCCTTTTCATCGCCCGAGACCAAGGTGTCGGGTGTCATGAGCGACCCCGGGGATTCCTTTGGGTCGCACCATTTTGATACTGGTAGAGAGAGTGAAGAAGAAACAGATGGTAGGGAGACCAACAGAGAGAACAGTGATGAGGCTAGGGTTGTTGTCAAGGAGGTTCTCAGCAAAGCACTTATGATGAACAGTGATAGTGACACATCTTTAAAGTCTGACTCTGGAAATGTTCCAGCAGACACGTTGGCTGCTGATGGTGCTGCAGCTCTATCAGTCGGAGGGGGCACTGAAGCGGATGGGGATGCTGATTCCAAAGGTCCGGCTGATCTATCTGTAGATAAGCATTTACAGCAAACGGATCCGAGTGGTGAGGAAAAAATGTTTGGTGTAGATCAAGATGGTAATAAACGTACAACAGAAGAGGACCTTCCTTCTATTCTTATGGAACAAAACCAAGACTTTGATGAAAGTAGCCCTGAAGCTGATCGGGTTGTTGAGCCACAAATGAAGGGAGCTGAGGATGAAGACGACGATGAAGCTGAAGGCGATGATGATGATGATGACGATGATGATATTAAGGTTGTCTGTATCGAGGAAGGTTCTCCATATCCGGAATACCCTATGAATTACGGTAACTACAAAGTGTGCAGGCAGGTTTCACCAGGAGTCAAAGAGTGTATGATATTAGAGACTGGAGAACACATCAAGTATGATAAAAAGACAGGAAAATGGACCAGCTCAGAATGTCCACCCACTTCGCCAAGAAGGTCAGATGATGAGAGTGCTCGACGCTCACTGAGTGAAAGCTCAGCGAGCTCCCATAAGTCTGATAATGAAGGTGAGAGAAAGGCGTTCAAGATTGTGAAGACTCCCCCCGGGATGAAGGGCACTGTTTTCATGAGCCTAAAACTCAGGGAATCTTCAGAGCTTGATGATGCAAATGGGCAAGTGGATGCAGAGAGAAGTGAGGTGGGTGATGGAAGGCAACAAGTGCAAGAGCAGGACATGAAGGATGATGAACAAGATAACACAAGTGGAGCAGGTCAGGAAGCCCAGGATGACACACGAGAAGGTTCCGGTGCTGAGGCTGAGCAGGTATCGGATGTTCTTGAAACCTCGCCCGAGGAAGTTCAGTCTGGGAGGAAGGTAAATGAAGATGGGGAACTGCAGGAATCCTACCTGTCTGAAGTTCCTGCCAAGGGCATTCTGAAGACCAGGCAGGAGCAAGAGGTGCCACCCAGCAGACCAAGCAATTCTGGAAGCCCATCTCTGGGTAAGCCTCCTATCTCACCACGGATGAGATCCAGCTATGAACGGAGAGATCATACTTATAGGTCTTCACGGAGGGAGGAGATTGATGGGAGGCGCTATGAGAATGTTGATCAGAGCCGAGAATCCTACACGTCTGATTATGGGAATAAGCGTGAGCGGTAGTTACATTAGTGGGCGCATTCAACCACATGACCAGTACCACTCTGTGCCAGCTCCAGATCTGTCCCCGAGCTGACCACAGACATCTGTATCAGTCGGAAGTTGTCACATCACCTCCCAGCTCAGGCCCTGTACCAGGATATAAAACACTGAAAGATCAACAGGTGAGGGAGATTCTAGTTCAATAATTTTGATAATTTTTTTTTTTTAGGTGAGTCTAGCCTACTTGAAAGTGGCGCCAAGGATATGAGTGAGTGTAGGCTTACACTGCATTTTTAGCAATATTCAAATTACTGTAAATCATGAAATTAATGTAAACATTTTATTAATCTTGAAAAACGAGTTTGTATGCTTCTCGCATTATTATAATGACACATTTCAGTCTGACCATGTCTAGTTTTGATAACTTAATAGAAGACAGAAATCGTAAATCTCTTGTCGTCTTCATCGTCTTTGGGTTAGCATTCATCATAACAATAAAGTATATAATAACAATTTAGACATCTCTCATAAAATTAATGGACAAATGAGGACTAATTTCCATGACACTAATTGATATCCATTAAACTTATTCATCGGCAAATTATGCAACAATAGCGGAAGTGTTGACACTACACATTACACCAATACAGGTCACTTCCTCATTACAGGTATCTCAAGCCACATGTAATTATCACTGGTTACAATCACTGGTCATTGCTTAAAGTTACTCAAGCACATCAGCCAGACCAGACATTCTCCAACCACTTGTTTGTTGTACCTGGGTAGATGCCTTGTGTCTTTCAAGTTGGATTACGTTTATAAATGTTGTCATAAGACAAGTAGTAGCAAGCAATCACATGATCAAACACGACAACAACGTTATCAAAACATCGTCAGCTCATTTCCGTTTATTGCTTAACAAGCTCAATTCAGGTTATTTGGTAAATAACAAGTGTGAAAAGAAAATGAACATCAAATATTCAGAGTGTCACATCTTATCATTAACACAGATTCCTGAGCTTGCAATAATTTCATGATGCATTTCAGACCAGACCCTCGCGACTTTCGCATTCAATTCGTGGACGCATTAATTTCATTCATGATTTACAGTATAAGATCATTAATCATGGCTAAGAAATGCTAGAAACGGGCCTTGACCTGAAACTTTGTGGTAGTCAAACCAAGTCAAACCATGACAAGCAAATTCATTAACCACTAGCTACCTCATCATGATCGACAGTGAAAATGTTTTGTCAGAGTCGATGATGTGGTTGATGCTAGTTGTATCCCAAAAGCTTAGATTGATGCTCGTGATGTCAATCTTTGTATTGTCTGTTCAAGAGTAGAGTACTAGAGGACCGCCATACTATAGTTGGAATATTACTGATTGTGGCACCATTCAACAAATAAAACAAAACAATCCAGTTTACTTAAGTTACAAGTTTGAATCCCATAGTGGAATAAAATCCATGTAATGCGTTGTAATCTTATCTGATTAATAGAGCTAGTGTATGAGCATGTGTTAATTCTTCCATGAATTCATAAAATCCACGTAATACACATATGTGCAGAATAATTTCTCTATCAAAATCTATTTCTTAATACTTATGGCCCAATTCCAAGAAAAAATTGCTGATCAAATTGATGTCAACAATCCTTAGCTGAGGTATCGTTTTGCAAACTTCATGGGGTGTTTCTTGTTATGTTGTAATCAAAACTGGTAGTTTCAGTCATCATTGACATTATTTGTACAACATGGAAGCTACTTCTCCAACACTACTACCGTGATATCCAGACTGGATTATATACCGACTGCCATCATGTAAAGGAATAAAGAAACAAAGAATATTAAAATATGTGTACAAATTAGCATTTTAAAAATCACTGTAAAAATGCCTGTGATGCAGATGTGCTTTCAGCTAGCTGTTCCTTTTGAAACTACTCTGAAACATTTACAGGTGGTACCTAAAGATTTGATGTAAATATGACCTATGTATTGTGATACTATCGTATCATAACCTTGCTGTATCGTTTCATCCCTTATTAAACATCCTACCTGTGGTGGTATGCTGTGTGTTTGTTCAGGTGTCCTGGCTGAAGATGTTCAAGGTTTTAGAGGAACAGCACCGGACAGAGCTCCGGTCACAGTACTCGGAGCACCAGCGCCTCATCCAAGACATCCAGGACCAGATGGAGCGAGAGCTGCACAAGCAGCAGTCTGCCATCCAGCACCGCCTTGACTCACACCGAGAGCTGCTCCGAGACGCTTCGCCCATGGCTGACCGTGTCCTCAGTGGCCTCGCCACTGACCAGTACAGGTATGGTGAATCTTTGTGAGCTGTCCTTACACATTCACATCTTGCTGAAAACTGTAAGGTTTCTCACAAATTATTGAGACACTCTGGGAGCTGCTTCAGGCCAACTGGGTCCTCAGTGGCTAGGCCCATGTATGGTGTCCCAAAACGTTGAAAACAATGTAAGATCCTGTACTTTAACATGTCTGATGCAGGCTAGGTGTTGTCCACTGATGTAATTTTAATTGTTTCAGCCGGCACCCCATCTCTCCAGTCGTGGAGTCTTATAGAAGTGGATTGGTGGATTACAGTTCTGGAGATTCAGGAGAAGGGGATGAGGACCAGATACCATACAGTGGACCATCTCGAGGACCCACGTCAGCGGACCCATTGAGAACACCCACCCTACGGCCCCATCAAGAGAGACGGGTTCCGTCTTACGGCGATCTTGCTGAATATCAAGTGCAGCAATCTACTTCATTGCCCGTCCGTAGGTCCCTTGAACACGCTTTTGACTCTCCTACTCGGTCACCCGAAAGGAGCTATGTTGCCATGGAGACTGGATATGTATCACCAAGGAGATCTACAGGAATGGGAGATTCCAGCTTGTCAAGGTCAAGGTCAGATGTTACAGAAGACCGTCTGCTCCGGGGCGGGGTATACAGCAGTCCTATGCCGATCTCCAAAGTGAAGAGCTCAAACAGGGTAAGGTGTACTGTAACATTCTTAGGGACCGATTTTCTTGTCAGGGTCATGGCACATCTGCTGAAATAATGACATATATTACAACTGGAACTGCTGTCATTTGGTTCATTTAGTGTCACATGATACCCAGGTGGTTCTCATGCTATTGACCACAAGGTAGGCTGCTCCAGTGTTGTGTTAATTTGGCAGATTGCTGTCATCATTGTGATATTAGCGCTAGGAATAAAATGACATCTTCTTACCGGTGGGATTGTACATGGTACATACAGTCAGGCCGCGTTAATCCGAACACTTCCGTTTTTCATCAAAAACGTTCGGATAGTGAAACGTACGGACTAATGAAATGAACCATTATGTACACCACTACAGTAGAGTTACTTCCCTTTTACATACAGAGACAAGAACATAAGAACGTATACATGTACATGTAATAAATGACTTAATTACAATTTGTATAACAATCAAAACTCAGAAACTCACTCGGGTTTAAAGAAATAGCCAATGACAGTGGTGTTGGTGTCAGGCAATGAACTTTCATGTTGGTCAATTTGACATTGGCACACTTGTGACTGGCAGTGTTGTCACTAAGTAAGATCATGAATTAATTAATGTCCGGATCCGGAGAGTGAAGCACCGGATTAATGAATCAGCAGTTAATGATATTACATAGTAAACAAGATTGGTTACAGCTAGCTACCGCTTGGATATCGTGGGAATCGAATTATCGTGGTCCGGACAAACACGGCCTGACTGTATACCCATCAAACAATTCCTTCTTCGCTTTCTTTCTGTTCTTTGACGTACTTTGTACCTCTGGTATTATGGTCATCCTGATTATTCTCCTTCATGTTTTAAAAAATTGAAATCTTTCGTTTTCAGTCATTGTCATTTTCAAAGAAATCCCTGTCAGAAAGTCAGCACTCTAGCCCCCCGCCAATGCATGAGCACCGACCCAGTCCTGCTGCAGAGCGCCCGTTTGATGTGCGTCTCCGTCCAGATCTGTCCCACCGCGGAGAGGAGTCTGTGTTGATGGGAGACTCCCTGTTTGACGATAGTCAGCTGTCAATGAGGTAATCCTGTCTCCAGCCCTCATGGATCCATGAAGATCGGGGTTAGGATTGGTCTTCAGTAACCATGCTTGTCACAAGATCACTGGCTCACTTAACGGGATCAGGTGGTCAGGCTCACTGACTTGGTTGACACATGTTATCATATCGCAATTACGTACTGGTAGGTCAATGCTCATGATGTTGATCACTGGATTGTCTGGTCCAGACAGACTACTGTCATATTTCTGGAATGTTGTTGAGTGTGGTGTTACAGTGGGGTCGCCCAGTGGTTAAATCGTTGGCTCGTCACGCCGAAGATCCGGGTTTCAATCCCCACATTGGTACATTGTGTGAAGCCCATTTCTGGTGTCCCCCGCCGTGATGTTGCTGGAATATTGCTAAAAGCGGCGTAAAACCAAACTCATTCAGTCAGTCAGTCCTGAACTATAGTTTTGAAGGAAGCAGTATCTGTGATGTTTCTGACGATAACAAACTCAGTCAGTCAGTCAGTCAGTCAGTCAGTCAGTTACACAACCAACCAACTAACCAACCTGCATGGGGATTCTGGGTATGAATTCGACCCCGCAACCAATGCTGGTCGGGTAGGCTGGCTGGCTGAGTATGGTTTTACCTCGCTTTTAGCAATATTCCAGCAACATCACGGCAGGGGACACCAGAAATGGGCTTCACAAGTTGTACCCATGTTGGGAATCGAACCCGGCCTTCGGCGGACGAGGCCGAACGCTTTTAACCACTAGGTTACCCCACCGCCCTGGTCGGTAGGAGCAGCTGCATGTAATCATGACTTAGTTGTTTGCGCACTACAGAGCTACAGATAACTTTTGGGTCATTGAGTTATGTACTTTCGCTTGTGTTCATCTCAATGGGGTATCCTAATTTTCCTTTGAGTAACCTAATAAATTATACCCACCTCACTCAAACTCAATTGGGCATTTTGCCATTTTCCATTATTTGCGAAAACAGAATAAAGTTTAAATGTTGGTTTACGTGCGTGTTATTTATATTTGATCTGTAATATGAGAAAAGATAAGAAAGACTGCAAGTTGCCAAGTTCATGTGCTGAAATAGAACCTCTAAATATACCTCTGAGTCAGTTATTCTATCTTTCTTCAGTAACCTCCATCTGTAGCATGGGTCTGCTTACTTCAAATTCTAGTAGGTTTGCTGAGTACGCAAGCTAGGATTTGACATCTTTGTGTGTACGCATGTTAGGTCATATTTATTGAGTATTTACAAAAATTCAAGCGTACTTGTACGCAATAGACTTGAAAGGAATTGAGTTTTCACATAAATGTTTGCGTAATTTACGAGATACGCCAGCTTATCTGTACCTCTGTACTATTGTACCTTCATCTCAAGGTTATTTCCTCATGATATCAGTCGAGATTATCATAATTGTCTGAATCAGATGTGGTTTATGTAATGATTAGACTCTTGCTGAATGTCTCTTTGTCATTCATTCATGTGTCACTCCGTAATATTCCGGTGATATGAACGACTCTGAATCAGAAGATCAAGTGATTGATATTGTGAACAATGATCTTCATCGGGGTGTGATGTCGTACTATCAACCACGGCAGCAAGATTTACAAGATTTGGTCAGCTCTTATGACCGCAACAGATCTTCACCAGAATCTCATTTGGCTGGTGAATGTTGTCAAGTCTGACCTTAGGGATCGTTCATAATTTATGGCTAGAGGGGGTAAAGATGATTTTAATGGGGGGTTACCCATTTTGTTCTGGGGAGGTAGGAGGGGTCAGCAATTTGTACATAAACACATTATAAAGTAATGCTTAAAAATTATGGGGATGGGGGTCATTGATTTTGTATCCTTGTGTATTCGGTTTTCGGTCATGTAAGGATCACACCAACGTAACATAAAGTGCATGAATAAATCGATAATAAACAAACCTACCTCGTTTGTTTGTTATTTATTTATGATATTCAAATATCTGACGATTAACCTCGTGGTTTCACCCGCACAACAGGCCTCATAGTTCGCTACGACAGATCGTGAATACGAAGTGACGCCATCTGTTTTCGCTCACTTCATTGGTTCTCCGTGAAACAGAAATCTACGCAGTATTCGGTGGCTATGCTGATATTTTTATAATATTAAGTTGACAAACATCCAGTCCCAAAGAATATTTGTAATAGTTCCAATAATAATTATTAGAAACTATGGTCGTAATAATTTCATGTGAAAGTTAATCATGATAAGACTTCTCGCTAGTTACATCACATGTCCAGACATGTTTCACTCTCCTCCGTTCGCTGACAAGGGCAATCAAACTCATCAGAAGATCTCACTACACGCGTCGGAGGTGCATTAGCTTGAGGTGGACCCAAAACACATCATGCAGGATGAGTACACTGGGCCCATGACACAGAAATATTCATTGGAGTTTCGAAAATTAAATGAGTATTTTGGAAAATCGTAATAAGAGATGACCCTATCCAGTTTCCATATATTTTTTACTTACAGCAACGCCACGTGATATGTCATGTGATAATGATACATCATACCATAAACAAGCAGACGACGCTATACTGAAAAGGTGGAGCTGACGATATTTTAGATATAGCATTTTGATTACATGAAAATTTATGCATTAGTAGACTTGGTTCTAAAACGTAACATTTACATGTGTTTGCAATCATGTACCTTCCTAAATTTCACACTAATCATTTTGTTAGTCAGTGCTGAAGCAGTCGACCTCCTGCCAAAAATAACCTGTTTGGTGGCGTAATATCTCGCAAATAACCGCGAAATAAACATGCAAACAGGCGGGCCCTAAAAACAGATGTTGAACGAAAACAGATGACTCGAGGATACATGACATGCAGGGGCAATCACTTCCTTTATGCATAATTTTAGGGTGGGTGGTGGGGTCATTCACAAATACATGCTTCTCCATAAAAATCATCATCATCATTTCCCACCCCCACCCCCTGAGACAAAAGTTATGAACGGTTGATCGTCTCTGACGACTGATATAGGTTATTCTGTCCAAGGCTTTGTTAGAATCCTCTTTTGTTGATGATTGTTGTCAATCCTGACTTTATTTGATCGCCTCTGACAACAGACATAGGTTATTCTAAGGGTCTTTTATAGGGTCAGAATTTTGTTTCATGCTGTCAATGCATATGGACATAAATATGAGATTGCACTGATCAATAATAGGTTGCACTAGTTTATGTGGTTTAATGCTGCTCTCGGCTATATGGCAGCTGTTTGTAAATAATCAAGTCTGGATCAGACAATCCAGTGACCAACATCATGAGCATCGCTCTACATTGCATAAACAAATCAAGCCCGCATTAACATGGTCAAGAAAAACCCAGCGTATGTAAGTGATAAAAACAATATGTAAGATTTTACACTGGCATTGTTGTTTTTTCCCAGTACCCGAATCAACCTGCGAGAGAAGCACGCCAAGCACCTGTCTGACTTGCGGGAATACTACGAGGCGGAAATGGCAGAACTGAGGTCATCACTAAGTGCTACACATACACCCAGTGAATCTGCACACGAACGAATCCTGCGAGAAGAGAGTCAAGAACTTAAACTTCGATGTCAGAGCTTAGACGATCAACTACATGATGCCAAAGTGTCAGTAACAATTACAATTTTACTGTTATATACTGGTGGCTTCATGTAAAATTCACTGTTTTGCCTTTCAACCTGCAGAACATACTCTGTGATGATAGAAGCTGAAATATATGTTTTGCAAATTAATGTTTCATATGCTTTCTCAGCAATTGGTAATCATTATTTAGTGAACTCAATATTATTTTGAAGAAATGGACCAGTGATGATGATGATGTATGTGATGTATGTCGAGGTAGTATACTTCTCAGAAGTATTAATGCAACGCCTCATTCTTTCCTGTAACAATCTGTTATGCATAACTATAGTGATGAGAAAGAATCATATGGTCCTTTGTGTAGTGTATGTTGTTGCTACCAACATCATGTACAGTTATTCTCGTGAGTTGAAAACAGGTTACTTTTCTTCTTTCAGGCGAATAAGGGACCTAGAACAAAAATTACAAGGTTTAGAAATCCGTGCAGTAAGTGCTTTACTACATGTACTGTATGTGTGTTGTCTATTCAGTGTAGCATATCTGTGTTTTATTGTCTTAGATACTCAAGTATCCAAGCATTATCAACCATTCTGTATAAAGTATTGTCATACATACTATTCAAGTAGAGTCATACACTCAAGCCAAGTATTGTCATACACATGAGCCAGACATTGTCATACACTGTATACAAACATTACCATGCATAGTATCCAAGGATTGTCATACACAGTATTCATGTTTTCTCATACAGTGTCCAAGTGTTATCACACACAAGCAGAGTACTGTCATACACAGTGTCTAAGTATTGTCATACACAGTGTTCAAGTATTGCCATACACAAGCAGAGAATTGTCATACACAGTGTCCAAGTATTGTCATAGACTAAGAGACTGCTATCCTATATAGTAACTAAGTATTTTCATACACTAACAGAGTACTGTGCTACACAGCGTCCAAGTATTGTCCTACACAGTGTCCAAGTATTGTCCTACACAGTGTCCAAGTATTGTCATAGACTATCAGAGTATTGTCCAACACAGTGTTGAAGTATTGTCATACACTAACAGAGTGCTGTCCTACACAGTTTCCAAGTTTTGTCATACACTGTCCGAGTATTGTCATAAGCAGTGTTGAACTATTGTGATACACTAATAGTGTGCTGTCCTACACAGTGTCCAAGTATTGTCATACAGTGTCCAAGTATTGTCATACACAAGCAGAGTACTGTCCTACACAGTGTCCCAAGTATTGCCATACAGTATCCAAGTATTGTCCTACACAAATGGTGTACTGTCCTACACAGTGTCCAAGTATTGTCATACACAATTTCCAAGTATGTCCTATATAGTAACCAAGTATTTTAATGCTGAAGTGAAATTTGTCTCCTCCCCAGTGGATAGTAATGTAGATTTTCTCTCCTCAGACTGATTACTGGACTAAGCTATGACGAGTCGCAGCTTAACAGTGTTGAAGCTCTACGAGGACGGGTAGATCTAACTTCACTCCTCGTCAGGACAAGGACAGTCAGTATAGGGATCTGGAATCTACAAACAGACAGCAAGCCCAGGCTCTGAAAGATGCATACAAGGTTGGTAATTCCTTGTCCATGACAGTGGTTTTACAAATTCGATGATTATATTTTTTTCTTGATGGTGTATGTGTAATAGAGGGTTCATTTCCAGGTTCATTATTTTCTTTGAATAATATACCTTGGTTATTGATTCCATCCTGGAAAATTCAATGTAGATGATCTAGTTCTACAACTGGTAGGGGAATCCTACACCTAGGATATATTTTTACAACCCAGAAACGTTTATGGAGGAAGAATATCTCTATCTAACTCTTAACAATAAAGGTGATAGATCTACTTAAGGTATGGCAAGATGTATTTGGTTATTTGGAAAGCTTGGAAATTCTGGTTTTCCATCACGGAGTGCCAGACTTAAAGTGTGTCTGGCACCAAATCTTTGGAGGTGTTTCCATGGTAACCATGCTATTTTAGAAATAACACCACTACTACTTATTAATGGATCAGTCTTTAGTATGAATAGATATTTTATCATTTTGAGAATGTGTTGTTCCAAACACTTCCATCGGTCCATGTTGGAGGTCAACGTCACAGTTTTATCTCGCATCATTTAAAACTGCAGATTGCATCATGTGTCCATCATGATGCGCTTTGTTATCATCAGAATCATCACAGATACTGCTTCCTTCAAAACTATAGTTCAGGACTGACTGACTGAATGAGTTTGGTTTTACACCCAGCGTTTAGCAATATTCCAGCAACATCACGGCGGGGGACACCAGAAATGGGCTTCACACAATGTGCCCATGTGGGGATTCAACCCGGGTCTTGATGGCGAGCCAACGCTTTAACCATTAGGCCACCCACACGCCCTATAGTTCAGGATGGTAAATGTGAAGACACATGGGATTTTAAAGCGTTTTCATGGTTACCATGCATTTTCAACAGTATCTCAGAAATGCAGTATGTCATGCCATAATATCTAAATATTGCTTTTGAGGATGTTTACAGGTGTTGATATTATTCTGTACTGCATCATTAATACATGTGAATAAACATCTGCATGGTCAGAGGTCAAAGAGATGCAGTAGTTTGTGAAAAGCTCTTTGGGTTGTTTTTCAATTGCATTAAAGTTACTTGTAAGGCTGAAGCTATGTGTGCTTGTGTTACAGCACCAGCAGGAGTTGACAGAGAGCAGCAGGCGGGACAAGGAGGCTCTCAAGAGGGTATGTACTTACACACCGTCGTCCAGAACAGTTTGTGGGTGGGAGTCAGGCATGGATGGTAAGGCTGTCTGATTCATTAGTGCAGGCTCTCAAGAGGGTAAGTACTTGCGCTGTCATCAGAACAGTTTGTGGGAGGGTCAGGCATGGATGGTCTGTCAGTCTGATTCATTAGTGCAGGCTATCAAGAGGGTATGTACTTACGCTGTCATCAGAACAGTTTGTGGGAGGGTCAGGCATGGATGGTCTGTCAGTCTGATGATTCATTAGTGCAGGCTATCAAGAGGGTATGTACTTACACGCTGTCATCAGAACAGTTAGTGGGAGGGGTCAGGCATGGATGGTCAGTCAGTCTGATTCATTAGTGCAGGCTATCAAGAGGGTATGTACTTACACGCTGTCATCAGAACAGTTAGTGGGTGGGGTCAGGCATGGATGGTCAGGCCATCTGATTCATTAGTGCAGGCTCTCAAGAGGGTATGTACTTACATGCTGTCATCAGAACAGTTAGTGGGTGTAGTCAGGCATGGATGGTCAGTCCGTCTGATTGATTAGTGCAGGCTCTCAAGAGGGTATGTACTTACGCTGTCATCAGAACAGTTAGTGGGAGGGTCAGGCATGGATGGTCAGTCCGTCTGATTGATTAGTGCAGGCTATCAAGAGGGTATGTACTTTTACACGCTGTCATCAGAACAGTTAGTGAGAGGGTCAGGCATGGATGGTCTGTCAGTCTGATTCATTAGTGCAGGCTATCAAGAGGGTATGTACTTGCGCTGTCATCAGAACAGTTAGTGGGAGGGTCAGGCATGGATGGTCAGGCCATCTGATTCATTAGTGCAGGCTATCAAGAGGGTATGTACTTACATGCTGTCATCAGAACAGTTAGTGGGTGTAGTCAGGCATGGATGGTCAGTCCGTCTGATTGATTAGTGCAGGCTCTCAAGAGGGTATGTACTTACACGCTGTCATCAGAACAGTTAGTGGGTGTCGTCAGGTATGGATGGTCAGTCCGTCTGATTCATTAGTGCAGGCTCTCAAGAGGGTATGTACTTGCACGCTGTCATCAGAACAGTTAGTGGGAGGGTCAGGCATGGATGGTCAGTCCGTCTGATTCATTAGTGCAGGCTCTCAAGAGGGTATGTACTTACACGCTGTCATCAGAACAGTTAGTGGGTGGGGTCAGGCATGGATGGTCAGTCCGTCTGATTTATTAGTGCAGGCTCTCAAGAGGGTATGTACTCACATGCTGTCATCAGAACAGTTAGTGGGTGGGGTCAGGCATGGATGGTCAGTCCGTCTGAATTGTTAGTGTAGATGTACTACGGAAACCATTATGGAGAAACCAAACTATGAAGTATGTACTCACTTTATGTAGAAATAGCCTCACAAGTTCCAAACTAGACAGTCCCAATAAATTTTGAGTGCTAATTATGAGAACCTGGAACAGTTTTAATGCAACAAATCGAGAGTGAGTGGATTAATTTTGTTGTGGCAAGGGACTAATTCATGCAGCCAAGTGAATTAATCAGTTTGCACCGTCAAAATATTAACTGCACCATGTTATAAACAATCCTATCACTAGCAGTGTCATTGACAAAGAAGATTATGTATCAGCAATGTGAGACAGATATTCATAACTTCATTATCTACAGAAAAACTCACTTTACTTTATGTCTGAAAGCAGGTTTTGGTAGATTCTTGCTTTTAAACTGACATTTTCATTCATAAATTCAGTTAGTTTCTGCTTGGCAAATTGAGCTCCACTATTGAAAGTCATGTATTATGCAGTGTGATACAGTATTTTAACAATATGTCTTTTACAATTGCAGTTGCTTTCGACAAGTCACGATGATTTGGAGAGAACATATGATATTTTGAGGGTAATAAAATCTTCATTAATTTCTAGCGATGGTATTGGCTTGAATTTTGTATTGCAGCTTGTTGCAATAATGATTCTTGTATTGTAGAATGGTCTACAGTATATTGCATATGTTCTGTCATGTGTAGTTTGTTTCAGATTATTAAGAAAAATATCCATGGAACCTTCCCTCCTCATATTAGAGCGATATAATAACAGACACATTATATACGGAATGCTGGTCACGAATAGTTTCCCTATTTCATCGCTGGAATCATATGCTAAATTCTGAATTTGAAAATTTCAATTCGACTTGTTACTCATATAAAACCTGCCATTAGTGATACATGTGGTCTCACCTTAGGCAAGTGAGTTGTTCAAACTTGCCTTTGTTCACCCAGCAGAAAATGGGTACCCGGTTGGATAGTCATGTGACTATAACCTTCTAGCGCCTAACAGGCAGCTTGGGTTATCCGGGGTAATAATAATCTGATTCTGATAAAGCGCCACAATCTATCACTTGTTGTTTGGAGACTGTGCGCTATAGAAGATTACTTATTATTAGGATGAAAATCTGCATGAGTTTGAGATATGAAATATACAGATATTTTTCAAACACATTGTGATACATGTTAGCAGTAGGGCTGTAACGCTGTATCAAACTATGAATGGATTACAGTTGTTGAGTCTCCAATAGCAAATAATCGATGGTAGAAAGGAAAAACTATCGATAGTATGTGTGACTATTGATAGTTTCGTAATTGACTTGTGTTGATAAATGAGTAGCTCAAAATACAGGAAGTACCAGATTCGTTCACTTTGATTTAGAGTTATCTGTCCCTGTTACCTCTTAAGCATGGAGACAAACACGGCATGCGACTCTGAGTTTGAACTTATGAATAACAATAAGTTTATGTTGTAACTGTTTACTTGATCTGGGTTCCAAGACCTAAAACTACTTCAACTTGTTTTATTTCATATAAGCTATGCATTCATTTGGGAAATTACTTCAAATGAGACAATTCAGGGTGAATTTGTTTTTATTGCAATAGTATTGCAATAGTTGGTGACAATAGTATGTTGCAATAGACTATCACTATCGCAATAGTTGTTTCCCCCTCAAAAGTCACTCCTGGTAATTATGATATAATAGCGTGCACCATTGATGCTTTCTATTCACTTCACTGAAGTTATTCATGTGTACAATATATCAAATAATACAGATAAATACTAGACATTGAGGCTAAAAGATGCTAAATCATTATGATAACAGATCACTTGAGACAGTATTCTTTGTCTGGCAGACTCACTTGTCCATACCAACACCTGATTGTAATTTTATGATATATTTTTGCCATGCTTGTATATCTTGACTTGGTTGACTCGTCATCGTGTCCCAATTGCGTAGATCAATGCTCTTGATGTTGATCACTGGGTTGTCTGGTCCAGACTGGATTATTTACAGATCGCCACCATATAGCTGGAATAATGCTTGTATATCTCTTGTAATGCATGAAGCACAACTACAATTTCGGCCATTATTTGAACCGTTTGTTAGGTTATCATGTCACAAAAGATGGCCTTTATTATGTTTATAGCCTATGATGATTGTGGTGGTAACTAGTCACTTACATCTTTCAGGGGCGTTTGGGGGACAGTGATAGGAAGCTACAGCTGTCCCGCCAAGAGGTGGCAGATCGTGATAAGTAAGTGGTGTTACCTGACGATATGTGAACTGTTTGATGGAAATTAAGGAATACCCGATTCTTTACTGACTCACAATCTGTCATGGCACATTTCACACTGGCACAGTACATTTAAGTTAAATCAATGTGAACATGGCAGTAATGTTTGAAATACTTCTGCATTTCAATCTTAAAGATCTAGGTTAGAATTGGTCTTCAGCAACCCATGCTTGTTGTAAGAGGTGACTGACAGGATCGGGTGGTCAGGCTCGCTGACTTGGTGGATGCATGTCATCGGTTCCCAATTGAGTAGTCAATGCTTATGTTGTGAATCACTGGATGGTCTGGTCCAGACTCGATTATTTACAGACTGCTGTCATAAAGCTGCAGTATTGCGTTAAACAAGAAACGATAAAAACTTATGCTGACTCTGTGTGAATTTCAGGACTATTTCCAAGTTGGAGCTTCACAGCAAACAGCTTGCGAGGGAGAATGAGAACTTGAAACACAAGGCAGCAATTGCACTAAGGTTAGTGATGTTCACCTCTATGTGTATAGTGAGGATGGCTGGCTGGCTGGCTGGCTGGATCGATGGAATGGATGGATGGAAGATCGATAGATGGATGAAGAAAGATGATAGATGGAAGATGGATGTATGGATGGATGAAGAAAGATGATGGATGAAAGATGGATGGATGGAATGAAGGATGGATGGATGGATGGAAGATGATGGATGGAAGATGGATGGATGGATGAAGAAAGATGATGGATGGAAGAAAGAAAGATGATGGGTGGAAGATGGATGGATGGGATGGATGGATGGATGGACGATGATGGATGGAATGGATGGATGGAAGAAAGAAAGATGATAGATGAAGATGGATGGATGGAATGGATGAATGATGGATGGATGGAAGAAAGAAGATGGATGGATGGAAGATGGGTGGATGGATGGATGGATACAATGATTGATGGAATGAATGAATGGATGTAATGATAGATGGAAGATGGATGGAATGGATGGAAGAAAGATTATGGATGGATGTAATGGATAGATGGATTGAAGATGATGGATGGATGAAGAAAGATGATGGATGGATGGATGGAAGAAAGAAAGATGGATGGATGGATGGAATGCATGGATGGATCGAATGAATGGATAGATGAAAGAAAGAAGAAAGATGATGGATGGATGGATGGAAGAAGGATGGAGGGAGAAAGGGCGGGGATAAACATTTTTGATTGAAAGGAATTTTCAAATTTCTATTTCTTCTTGGGATTAGGCATAACCTGAAGTGTTGTGAAGTTTGAAGGTTAAATTTCTGCATGTTTGATTATAGTATTCCATTAGAGACAATAAGAACATATGAAAAATTGTGACCCTTTTACACCACAGTATACAATGATAGCTATACCTTTACTGCAACCCACCCACCTACCAAGCTTTATTATCTTGCCTCTCACATAAATGTTGTTTTCTGATTGATTGGCTGGCTCTTCTATTATTTTCTGATGTACCCCTTTACAAAGCAAGTAACATTTTCTATATACCCTGCTGGGAATGCCAAACTCATTCGGTACTGTAGTAGTAATTCTTTATCATGAATAACATTGAATCACTTATGATGTAATGATGTTTTGCGAATGCAAATCGATGGAAGGGAGATAACTCTAAATTTGTTTTTCTTGTCCTCCATACTATGATCTGATACCTGTGCTTCAATCAGTTTAAAATTACCATTGAGGTGTTCAGTGAGATAAATTGTTCACTGGTCCCTCGGGGCCCATGGGTTGATGTACCATTGATGTTTCTTTATGTTCCCCTTGCCCTCCCTGGGCTCAGGGAACATAAACATCATGGTACATCAGCCCATGTCCCCTAGAGACCAGTGAACAACTTATAATATAGCATTTCTGTTCACAGTATGGCTTCAGCAAAGACCAGTTATGAAGACTCATATGGATATAGCGAAAGCCATCGCTCAGCGGAACCAAATCAAGGGGAGATAATCAATGGGAGGACTTCAGCTCCGTATATGTCCATGGAAAGGTACTTTAACATTGTGATATGGGCAACCCTCATTTCAGTATCAAGATGTGTCTCTAAATATTGTGGAAATCTGATTTAGGTGTTGAATTAATTCAGTATCTTTAAACATGATGGCCTCTTGAACATGTGTATTTTTCATTCCAACTACAAAACAGTTTTTCACATGCTCAGTCATTGCTACTCACATAAATGCCTTGTATTTGGACTGATTCTTACCTGTAGATACTTGGTCCCTGAAGGGCACATTCAGTTACTTTGCAAGTCCTGTGTACTGGTGTCAGTTATCTGTGCATACTTGGTCCCTGACGTTCACGTTAAACTGGGGTGGTGAGTTAGCCTTGTAATTAAAGCATTCGCTCGTCACGCCAAAGATCCGGGGTTTCGATACCCACATGGGTACAATGTGTGAAGCCCAGTTCAGGTGTCCCCCACGTGACAATGCCCATTAAACATGTCAAACGACTTTGCAAGTCCTGTACACTGGTGTCAGCATTCTGGGATCTCTTCACCGATTTGGAAATTAGAGGTTGCATCATCACTAAATTCAGGGTCAATAACAACTGTTATAATCTTTTAGTCAGTCACCAAGGCAAGTACACTGTCTATTAATGCTGTTACTTGTATCAGCAGATTATATGTGAGCGAACCGGGGGGTCACCGAAGAGTCGAATCATCTCCAGAGTCAGATGTTGACAGTGACAGCGGCCCCTCACCGCTACTGAAGGCTGAGAGGGAACTACGCAGACTTCAGACAGACTCCACCAGCAGTTTCAGGGAAGGCTTTCAGCCTAAACTCCAGAAGAAATTTTACGGCAGTGAAGTGGCCTATCCAGGTCGGTACAGAGAGGCTGCCTCCAGCTCAAAGCTTGATTCGTCACGATCTAAACCAAAAAATACCTCGCCAGGAAAGTCATCAAACTCACCCAAACCCAAAAATCAGAGTCGGAACATGTCTCGGTCAGATACTCAAATCAATTCGGTAGGAACTCACAATGGCATCCTGTTCCCAAGCCGAACCAAACTGAAACTGCAGCCGAAGGAACAGTCCACTCCAACGAGTTTGACGCGTTAGTCTGAACAACTTGACCAATGGTCATGAGAGCAACCAGAAGAGCACCAAAGACAAATTGTCACGAGCAAAGTCAGAGCAGGCGGTTCCTGCTGCTGTGGAGGCAATGTCCAGAAGCAACCTAGGTGAGTTAGACAAACATGGTGGGAGACACAGCCCGTAGGGTTTGGTTTGGTTTGGTTTGGTTGGTTGGTTTTTGGTTTTTTTAGCACTGGACTCAGCAATATTCCAGCTATATGGCAACAATCTGTGAATAATCGAGTCTGGACCAGACAATCCAGTGATCAACATCGTGAGCATCGTTCTACGCTTAACGTAATGAGGGCGGTGGGATAGCCTTATGGTTAAAGCATTTGCTCGTCAGTCTGAACACCTGGGTTTGATTTCCACCATTGGCTACAATGTGTGAAGCCCATTTCTGGTGTACCCCACCGTGATATTGGTGGAATATTGCTAAAAGCGGCGTAAACCCAAACTCACTCACTTCACATAATGTTCAAGATTCTTTTACATAGATGTCAATGTTTTAAGGGCAGGTTGGTGGGTGCATGTCTCTCTGAGTCTGTGTGGAAAGGTGTGCTTGTTCTAGTCCAGACTACTGGCAGTTCTGTAGTGCAAGACGGGGCGGTGGGGTAGCCTAGTGGTTAAAGCGTTGGCTCGTCATGCCGAAGACCCGGGTTCGAATCCCCACATGGGTAAAATGTGTGAAGCCCATTTTTTGGTGTCCCTCACCGTGATCTTGGTGGAATATTGCTAAAAGTGGCGTAAAACCAAACTCAGTCAGTCAGTCAGTCAGTAGTGCAAGACTACTGGCAGTTCTGTAGTGCAAGACACTCACATAGTTTACTGTTTCTGACCCCACCACTGCCAGGCAAGGTAACAACAAGTTCCATATTTCAAACCCATGAAGGTCCAGGATAGAATTGGTCTTCAGCAACCTGTGCTTTTCGTAAGAGGCGACTAATGGGATCGGGTGGACGGACTTGCTGACTTGGTTGACACATGTCATGGTATCCCAATTGAGTAGACTGATGATCATGCTGTTGATCACTGGGTTGTCTTGATTATTTATAAACCGCAATCATAGAGATGGAATATTACTGGGTTCAACATAAAACAAACAAACACGCAATAAAAACAAAAACATCTTTCAACATCTGTTGGTATGAAGTGGCTGGCAGACTGACCATCTGGTCTCTGGACAGAACCTCTGTCCACTACACTGGAGTGGCAGTGCAGAGAAACATGAAATATTGGCAGATTTCCTGAAGCTTAAAGCGTTCATTCGTCACCCCGAAGACCCGGGTTGTATTCCCCACATGGGTACAATATGTGAAACCCAATTCTGTTGTCCCCCGTAATGATATAGCTGGAATATTGCTAAAAGTGGCGTAAAACTAAACTCACTCACTCACTCACTCACTCACTGAAGCTTAGAAACTGTACCTGTATGACCAAGAAACTGATATGCATATTTGACCTAGTGGTTTAAGCGTTGGCTCATCACGCCAAAGACCCGGGTTCGATTCCCCATGTGGGTACAATGTGTGAAGCTCATTTCTGGTATCCCCTGCAGGGATTCACTCACTCACTCACAATATTTGAAATGCTGAATGAATCTTTTCAATTTTTCACAGGAGGCAAGTCTGTAGAGAGCACCCTGGAAAAGGTTCGATCAGGCAATTACGTGTCTCGACCACAGTGGGAGGATATAGACACATCCATGGCACGACCAGCCAAATCTCAGACGTCTCCCAGACAGAACATGGTAGTAAAACTTCTTCTCAGTTGTCTTGTGGGTTTTTTGTTAGACCTTTCGCTCTGATAAGATGCTTGCAGATCTTGCAAACCCTCTGTTATGGCATTTCATGTAAAAGGTTTTTCATCACAGCTATTAGACATGTTGGCAGTAAAGAGGACATCTGTTTGAATTGTAAAAGATCATATTGTGATTGACAGCTAAAACAGGTATTTATGGCTAGCCAGTCATAAAGGTAGTATTTTTAGAATTATACACTCACTCAACCTTACACTCACCTTACTCAAGTTGGGTAGCCTAGGGGTTAAAGCATTTGCTCATCAAGCTGAAGACCCGGGCTCGATTCCCCACATGAGTACAATGTGTGAATCTCATTTCTGGTGTCCCCCGCGGTAATATTGGTGGAATATTGCTAAAAGCGGTGTAAAACCACTCACTCACTCACTCCCTCACTCAGCGTTAATACTGTTATTGTTTTATCCTTCACTTGCCTGGTGTTTCAGACTCGAGAGGAGCGACTGAGAGAACGGCTTCAGGCTGTTGACAAACTAGAACGACACTACGATGATTTGCAAGCTGAGAAAAGAAAGGTACTGTACACTGTTTAACATTTTCCAGTTTTCCCCACATAGCAAAAAATCATTCTTGTAGCTGGGGAACCAGTCTTCAATTTGCTGTGCACACATTGTAAAATGGAACCTGAATTCAGTGAAATTTTGCTAATATAAATCTTATAATTTGCATGAAGGTGATTTTGGTGTATGTTTTCAGCTGGAGTCTGCGCTAATCAAAATTCCCAATTCACGGTCGTAACAGGAAAATGATTCAAGACCAGGTATGTAATTTTGGTAATGGTAATGTCTTTGCAAGAAGCATATGGCTTGTGTAATGATGTGAGCATGGAAAACATACTCAGGACCTTGTCAGTATTTGTTCTAGAGATGCCAACCACTCTGATTTTGGCAGAGTTTCCCTGATTTTCAAATACAAAATCTGCTCTTCGCTTTCTCTTTATGGTATACAATTTCGCAAGTCAGCGGTGATTTATTTGAGTGAACACTGGTAAAAGCTTTCAGAAGCTTAGCGTGTGATCCTTTGGGTGTCGATTGTGTATATTGTGTGTTATTGACGATGAAGTTTCTCAAAGTTTTCTGAATGCATGTCATAGGCTGTATGAAAGTGGGAAACAAACTGGCAGAGTCGACCATAGTCTCACCCCCAACTCACACCTTTGGTGCTCAGGCCTGGCTTTCAGCCAGTCATGACTCCGCGTTTCCCTTAGATTCAGGGTTGGCATCTCTGTTTGTTTCATATGTTTCATGGCAGACAACTCGATAACATTCAGAAGTAAAAGCAATGCCACTGTGACCTATGAGTCTGAATGTAGATGTTCCCTATGAAGATCTGGAGAGTGGAAGGTTGCGGGTTCGATCCCCACGCTGTCAAACCAAACGACGTTAAAATATGGTACTTTGTTGGTCCCCGCCTGGCTTTCGGCATTAATGGGTACAACAAGGACTGGTCGCCGGTTTGGAGTCAGTATAATGTGTCTGAGAGGGGAGTATTCATGCTTCACTGCGCGCATGGTATCTCAGTGGGCTAGCACTATAAAAACCAGCTTAAGTCTGGGCTAGTACAAAGCAGCTGCACATACACATAGACACGCATGCACGTTGTCATATGAGCGGAGATATTCTCAAGTACGACGTTAAACCCAATTTCACCTCACCTCCCTATGAAGATCTATATGAGAATTGGTCTTTAGCAAACCTGTGCTTATTGTAAGAGACAACAGAGGAAAAGGTGGTAAAACTTGCTGACTTGCTTGACACATGTCATCATATCCCAATTGTGTAGATCAGTGCTCGTGTGCTGTTGATTACTGGATTGTCGAGGTCAGAAAAGATTATTTACAGACATTGTCTCTCATTACAGATGGACCTGAAATTTTGAAATTATATCAAAAGCAAACATTTGGTTCATTTGACTTGGATTTTCTCTGTAATTGTCGACCCATGCTGACTTGTGTGTTTGGTTCCAGGGTGAGTTGGAAGGGAGACTGGACCAAGTGGACAAGGAGCTAGGATCGGTCAGAATGTCACTCAAGCGGTTCCAGGTTCTCAAGTCAACCATCTGATACTTGCCTCTCAACTTACTATGTCTTCCCATGTGATACATTCCTCTCAACTAGTTTACAGACGAATAAATGTGCTAGTTTGTGTATGATGACAACCTAGCTATTTAGAATATTAATCTATTTGTAGATCCTATATTAGCTAGTTTGAAATTCAGCATACAAGAAGTATGTGTGGCCAAGTTGATCCACTTTGTATATCTGTGATGGTGAAATGTCCAAACGTGATGTTGGTATTATCTTCTTGTTTGATTTCAAGACCGAATGAGAGAGAGTTAACCATGTTTTAAGCCGCATGAGCAACTTTGCAGCTATTCACGGCTATTTGAAGACTAATAATTTATTGGTTAGTTATCACTATGTATTGCATCCTCGATAATCTCCAGTGTATACGTTACGATCACTCTCCACTATACCCTGGTTGCATCCACGGCTTGGCCCGATGATTTTATTACCTCCCTTTGCTGGCTCTGCATTCTCAAAGTAGCCAATCAGCTAAGCCGCCATTACATACGAGCTTGCCAGTGTGAACAAAGATAGCGGTCGCAGTCGGGAAGGTTTGTTCGCAGTACCACTCAGAGTTTTGGAGAAATAATACAGACAAATTACAGATCTGAAACTTTAAAAACATATATATAAAAACTCCTCCTACCTCTTTCAGAGTATCTCTGCATCAATTGTATTGCCAAATTTAATCGGTTAGATAATTTAAGAAGCAAAGTGAGATTGTTGATTGGTTGGCTCAATTTCCCTTCATAGACACCTGGTTGGATAAAAACACAACAAAGGAGGTGTGTGTGTGTGTGTGTGTGCTTGCGTGTGTGTGTGTGTGTGAGTGTGAGTGAGAGAGTGTGGATGCATCCAGGGTATAGTGGAGAGTGATAGTAATGTATACCCTGGAGATTATCGAGGATGTATGTATTGGTGAGAGTGCAGAACTTGCTATTGACATAGCTTTGCAAGCTAATGTAAATCAAAGATGGAGAAAATCCATGATCAAACAAAAGTTTTCTTGGTGTAATATTTATTATGCATATCATGACAGGTTTTGTATGTTTTACACTATCACAACATGATTATACCATATACAGAGATGCCAACTCATATGAT